GGCGCCCGTCGTGGCGCCCGTCGTTTCTACTGCTACCGGGGGCCCGCGCGGCCTCACCTCCCGTCGCCCGTCGTGGCGACCACGGGGGGCTCGCGCGCGGTCCCCTCTCGTCGTCCGTCGTGGCGACCACGGGGGCCCGCGCGGCCTCCCCTCCCGTCGTCCGTCGTGGCGACCACGGGGGCCCGCGCGGCCTCCCCTCCCGTCGTCCGTCGTGGCGACCACGGGGGCCCGCGCGGCCTCCCCTCCCGTCGTCCGTCGTGGCGACCAAGGGGGCCCGCGCGCGGTCCCCTCTCGTCGCCCGTCGTGGCGACCACGGGGGCCGCGCGGCCTCCCCTTCCCGTCGCCCGTCGTGGCGCTCCGGGGGGGCCCGCGCGGCGCCCTTTTCGTCGCCCGTTGTGGCGACCACGGGGGCCGCGCGGCCTCCCCTTCCCGTCGCCCGTCGTGGCGCTCCGGGGGGGCCCGCGCGGCGCCCTTCCCGTCGCCCGTCGCGGCGGCTCTGGGGGCCCGCGCGGCGCCCTTCCCGTCGCCCGTCGCGGCGGCCCTGGGGGGGCCGCGCGGCTCCCTTTCTCGTCGGCCGTCGGGGCGCCCTGGGGGCCGCGTTCTTCCCCCCCCCGTCCTCCTACCTTCACCTGCAGCGGCCGCCCCTGGAGCCGCCCCTGGAGCAGCCCGCACCTGCAGCAGCCGCCCCTGGAGCAGCCCGTGCCTGCAGCAGCCGCCCCTGGAGCAGCCCGCACCTGCAGCAGCCGCCCCTGGAGCAGCCCGCACCTGCAGCAGCCCGCGGCCCGTCCCTGCAGCCCCCCCCCCCCCCCCCCGTGCTGCCCATTGCTCCCAATCCGCCGTACGTTCCGCGGTGGTGGGGGTGTGGGGTGGCGAGCATGGGGGTGACCGGTGTGGGTAACCTGAAGCTCCTCCTCCTCCTCCGTCTCCCACTGCTGCAGCTGCCGCTGAGGGGGGTGGGTGTGTGGGAGCCGAGGGTTTAGGGTTTAAGGGGGGTGCCGTGGGAGTGGAGCTAGGGTTTCAGCAGGGGGTGTGTGAGAGGGGTGTGGGACGGTCGGGGGAGGTTGAGTGGAGGCTGCTGTCTTGTCGTCCGCAGCACCTGTAGTCCGGGGCGCACTGTCCTGGTAGCTCAGAGAGCCTGCTGCACCTGTTGCCCGTGGGTCCGTTGCTCCTGCCGCTCGTCGTAGCCGCAGAGCCTGTTACTCCTGTATTCTGGGACGCACTGTCTCGGTAGCCACTGAGAGCCTGCTGCACCAGTCGCCCGTGGGTCCGTTGCTTCTGCCGCTCGTCGTAGCCGCAGAGCCAGTTACTCCAGTATTCCGGGGCGCTCTGTCTCGGTAGCCACTGTGTCAGCCGCTTCTGTTGCCCGTGTGTCTGCAGCTTCAGTCGTCGCCTCCCATCTTCTCTCCTTTCATAGTCCCTCCTCCTCCTCACTTGCCCTCTGTGATAGCCTCTAGCTTTGCTGATAATTATGAACTATTGCTATGACTGCTCATTGTGCTGATTACACCCCACTTTGGCTATGGGGGTGTGTCAGAATATGTTGTTTGTGTAGCCTGCAGTGGGGTACTCAATAGTGAGTACAGCCCCTTAGGGTTTGCTATTTGTATCCTGCTGCTTGCTAGTTCAATCACTCCTTCTCAATTCTGTTCCTGCACACAATCCTAGCTCGTACTTGGCGCCTCCTTTCGTAGTCCTACTGTGGCCTAGGCTACTAAGCCTAGGCCGTACTCCTACTATATCTGACAGTAAAATCTAACCACCGCTTGCTTGTATGCAGATGTCGTGGTCGGTTGCCAAGCTAACGGGTGGATGGAGGCCTCGGGCGTAATCGAGTGGCTCGGTGCAGGCGTGGTGCCGTTCCTGAAACCGAAGTTCGGATTGCAGAGCCGGAGCGCCATGCTAGTGCTCGACTCCTATCGTGGACACCTGACACCCGAAGTCAAGGCGAAGTTCGCGGAACTCAACATCGTGCCGGCGGTCATCCCAGCGGGATGCACGGCAGACTTGCAGCCGCTCGATGTGTCGGTCAACAAAAGCTTCAAGGCGAGTGTTCGGCAGCAGTACCAGACCTGGTTCGAGCAGGACGGCATGAACATCCTGACACCCGCAGGTACGCAAAAGTGTTCTCCCGTGACCGCTTCGTCTGTATGTCTGCCTACTTGTGGACCCACGTGTTTCCCACCCCCGTGTATGTGGTGCAGGGAACATTAAGAAACCATCTCCGGAGGTGGTGCTCAAGTGGATTTCACGGGCGTGGAAAGCTGTGCCCGCCGACCTGATTAAGAGAGCGTTCCTCACCTGCGGCATCAGCAATGCCCTTGACGGGAGTGAAGACGGACTGGTGCTGGCGCACCGGAGAGGTCAGCTATCCCACGAGGTAGAGGTTGATGACGACATCCAAGCAGACGGGTTCTTTGGCAACAACTCCACGGAGCCTGAGTCGGACGAGGAGTAGGCCTTAGGCTAGACTAAACTTAAAAATGTTGTGTAGGCTAGGATGCTAGTCTAATGTATTTGACTTGAAAGTTTTAGTTGAAATTTTTAGCTAGAGTAATATAGTTTGTACGAAGGTTGTAAAGAAAGTGAAAAAAACAACAGACATTCTTGTCTATACAGCAAGGGTGCGCTTATAATAAGTAAGGTTTTTTTAGAGGGTGCGCTTCTAATTGAGGATCGGCCATAAGCGCATTGCTCCAGATAGAAGCGCATGCGCTTAACATAGGCCTGCGGTTATATCCGGGGCGATACGGTATATGTTCTTTATAATTGTCTGCAGTGTAAAGTGTAGCACATCCCAATTTGCTGTAGGTGGTGCACCATGCTTCTCCTTGCTATATCTTGTACTCATCTTTCTTAGTGAAGCAACTTTTCCTCTTGCCAAAACTCTCTCGACATCTCTCTTCAACCCCAAAACCTAAGCTCCTAAGCCACTCTAGCCATGGCTCTTAAGCCCAACTAGCTTAGTATCTTGACATTGGGGCCTCTCCCCTCCCCTAAGCTAATGCACACATCAGAGCACAGAAACATCACCCTCCGTGCGCCACCCTCCAGGGCGGCAGCAGCGGCGAAGCCCCCTGCCTCTACGTCTGTGGTGGCGTTGGCAGCAGTAGAGGAGCGCAGCAGCGGGAGCGCATGCAGCTCTGCCAGCGCATGCGCCCACCACCTGTGCTAGCATGTGGAACCGGGAAGAATGGCAGGGAGGAGGGCGGGGTGTCGGTGCGGGTGATTAGACTTGGTGGTCGGGAGAGGGGGGGCATAGAAGGATAGGAGAAAGGGCATGTATGGAGGGAGGCATGGGGGTATTGCAGAGTTGGTGGACAGGAGGAATGCACAACCACCACCTAAACAAGTGCAGGGAACACAGGAAAAAAGATTACAGACGGTTGCACAACAGGGAACTGCAGCAGCAGACTACACAGCACACAAGAAGGGAGGAAGGGGGGGTCAGTTGCGGGGGGTGTGCGGGTCAAGTTGTGGTAGGTAAAATCGGTGGTGGGACGGCAAAGTGTGAAGCCAAAAAAGGGGGGATTGAAGGGAAGGAGGTGAATGGAGGGAAGCATGGGATGGGAGTGTTGCCGAGTTGGTAAAGTCGTACCCCCTGCAGTGACGTGCTTGGCTATGAGGTCGAGTTGGGTACCAGCCTGCACACACAGGGATGCACAGGGGTGCAAGAAGGGGTTTAGGGGGGAAGCGAAGAGACGTGAGCCTGGTGATCGGCACAGGGGGGGTTGAAAGTTGCGGGGTGAGTTTGGAGAGGAGAGATATACTGAGCAGGGAGTGGAGAAAGGGCGTGGAGGTGTAACTGTGTAGGAGAATGCAGAGAGGTGGGGGCAGGTGGGCGGGATGCAATGGCAGAGGAGACTTGCAAAGCACATGACAAGAAGAAGGAGAGTGGCACTGTAAGGCGATGCAAGCAGGGAGGTGCGATAAAAGCAGGGAGGTGCGATGCAAGCAGGAAGTTGACTTTCGGCAGAACTGCAGGACTTGACTGAGGCACTTGCTCTGAGGGACTTGACTGGAAGCACGTTGCACGCTACCATCTCCTCCACCACCGCCACCAGCATCTGGGGGAGAGCACGGGCGAAGAGGGGGGAAGGGTCAATTGTTGAGCCGACGCACAAACATTGACCAGCACGTTTCGAGCTATCATCTCCTCTAGAACTGGTATCAGCATCTGGGGTTGGACTGGGAGGGGCAGGACGAGTGGGTGGGTGGGGGTTGGAGTTATCATTCCCTCCACCACCACCACCAGCATCAAAAGCGGGCAAGGGGCGAGGGGAAGGTGGGAGGGGATGAAGGGTGGGTGGGAAGGAGTGGGTAGAGGGAGGGGAAAAGCAAGCTTTCTATCCAGACGTATCTGAGAAGAGACGGCACAGCATCTCCGTGCCGGTAACAAGGAGCAGTAATAGGATCTCTTTAGGGGGAGCAGAGAGCGAGAGGAGAGAAAGGAGGCAACAACAGCAGACACCCTAGTTCCCCCTCCCCTCCATACACCCCTTCTCCCCTCTCTCCTAGCAAACACGTCCCGGATAACGGCTCTGGGAGCAGTAGATGACCGGACAGTCATGCATGCAATGCACCCACCACACTGGTCTCCCCTTCCCTCCTCTTCCCCTCCCCCCCTTCCCGTGAATGACCTCTGGTTTCTCGAGTTTCTCCCAGCATGGCGGCTGGGAGGGCAGCAGCAGCAGAGTGTTAGAGGCGCAGCAGCTTGTCGTGCACTGACAAATGGTCCCACTACGGAGTGTTACGGGCGCTGCCAGGGGCTCCCATGCGCCGCTGCGGCTACGGGGAGCCACTGGGCAGTCCGCCACCATGTCGGGCGCTGCCGCATGATGACCGGGCCTTGCTGTGCCGCTGCTGCCCTGCTGCCCTGCTGCCCTGCTGCCCTGCTGCCCTGCTGCCATGCTGCCATGCTGCCATGCTGCCATGCTGCCATGCTGCCATGCTGCCATGCGAGGCACCTTGTAGCTCTGCATGCTGACATGCTGCCCATGTTGTCACTCTGCTGTTGCTGCCGCACACACTTGCCTCACTCTCCATGCTCTCGCTCGCTGCTCCACTAAGCAGTCCTCTGCCTGGCATACATGCACATGGGGGGGGGTGGTTGCAGGGATGGGGATCGGGAAGGAGCTGGGCGAGGGGATGCAGTGCTGCTTGCCGTGGTTGCCACATGCACGCCCTTGCGCTGCCCCACTCGGTAGTCTCAGCAAGGCCCACATGACCCACATGGCCATCCCCATCCCTGAAAGCAAGGTTGGGAGGACAAGAGAGAGGGTTCGGTAGTAGCTGTGGTAAGCTGAGCACTGGCAGCGATGCTGACAGCACTTGGTGCTCGGTGCATGTGGTGGAACATGCACCGATGCAGTGCATACACAAGACAGGGAGACGACGACGACAGGAAGAATGAATTCAATCAGCAATATACACGATTGCGACAGCGGCAAACAGCAGCAGCAGCTCCCACCGCAGCCTCTTCCATCTGGCGGCGGACCGGGAATCTGAACGTGTGCAGGCACGTGACGGCCTTCCGGTGGGTGCCCGGTACGTACAGCGGCAAGTGCCCCAGTGGCTGCAAGTGGGACGTCACTGATGCCACTGGGGTCAGCGCTGCGCTTCCGCCGCCGCTTCTATCGTGCTGCTGTTGAACGGGTTGTGAGGAGAGGAGAGGTGTGGTGGTTGCCCCACCCTTCAGCATGTCCCATACTGCCACCTGCGGACCTGCTGTGATGAGGGAAGGGGAGAGGAGGGGAGGGGATGGGATGGGAGGGGAGAACAGGGGAGGGGAGGGGAGGGGAGGGAAATGGAGGGGAGGGGAGGGAGGGGAGGAGAGGGGATGGAAGAGGAGAAAATGGTGAAGAATGAACGGGAGAGAGAGGCTTGTGGGAAGAGCAGTGAGTTGCGTAGACGGTGGTGTAGGAATGATGAGAAGGCACGGCAGATGGTAGGACTAAACAGCTGGACGTTACAAGTGGAGAATTGAGGGGCGGTGCCAACGTGGGAGGCGTTACAAGTGGAGAATGGAGGCAAGACAGAGTCAAGGCAAATCGTGGAGAGACGAGAGCATGCGGTGTGCAGCAGGAGCAGGAGCGGGAGCGGGAGCGGGAGCGGGAGCGGAAGCGGAAGCATTGGGAAGAAGAAGACGAGAGAGCCAGCAGCAGGGGGAGGGGGAGAGGGGTGAAGTGAGGGACGGAGGAAGGAGGGGCGGGGGAAGGGGGGAGAGTTTGGAGAAATGGGGAGGTGGGAGGAGGAAAGAAGTAAGGGTGAAGGGCGGTTTAGTGAGCGTGTGCAAGGACAAGGTGAGGGGAGGTTAATTGGGCGAGCAGCATGAGAAAGAGGATGGGGAATAGGATGGGGAAGAGGATGGGGAAGAGGATGGGGAAGAGGATGGGGAAGAGGATGGGGAAGAGGATGGGGTAGCGGATGGGGAAGAGGATGGGGTAGCGGATGGGGTAGCGAATGGGGTAGCGGATGGGGTAGCGGATGGGGTAGCGGATGGGGTAGCGGATGGGGTAGCGGATGGGGTAGCGGATGGGGTAGCGGATGGGGTAGCGGATGGGGTAGCGGATGGGGTAGCGGATGGGGTAGCGGATGGTGGCCGGGCGAAACAAGCGGAGAGAAGGAACGCAGAGGGGTGTAACAAATCATGGGTTGTTGTCACGAGTACAGCGCAGCAGGCAGGCAGGGACACATGCGGGTAGGTGAATGCAGGGTAAGTACGAATGCAGACACGAACATGCTCTCGCCCATCTCACGCTCTCCGTTCCCCTCAGCTCCCCATATAACCGCTGCCACTGCCCCACAACCCCCCTCACTCCCTCTGTGCCCCTCCCTGCCGCTGTGCTTCCCACTCTCCCCTCCCCCATGACAGCCCCCTGTGCCCGGCTAGTGTCCCCCCCCTCAGCGCAGTGCGCCCCTGCCCTGACTGACCTGCACCATGCCCCTGCCCTGCCCTGACCTGCACGATGCCTCGGTCCCCGCCTGCCACCAGCAGCTTGCCATCCGCCCTGAACCGCCCGCTGAACGCCTGCATGCCACCGCACGAGGCATGGGAGGAGGGGAGGGGAGGGGAGGGGAGGGGAGGATGACGGAGGGCAATGGCGAAAGCGGACGGGAGAGGGGCATGGGAGGGGAGGGGAAAGGAGAGGAGGGGACGGGAGGGAAGGGAAAGGTCGGCGAGAAGACGGGAGAAAGAGGGAGGAGGGCGTATGGGAGAGAGGGGCCTGGTGCGGCAGTGCGATGAAGGGGTGTGATCACAAACGGAGGAGCCGTGCGAGTACGTGACAAGAGCTAGCAAGGATGAGCTTTGGACAACTGAGCGAGGGGAGGGGTGAAAGGCAGCGGACAGGGCAGACACGGATAGGATGGGAAATTATGGAGGGGAAAGGGAGGGGAAAGGGAGGGGCCTCACAAGTCCTATGAAGCGAGAGAGGGTTTTGAGTGGTTCCCTCCCTGGTGACGCCACTGTACACCGTCACCTGCCATGGGGTTCGTGGCGTCACACGCACAGGGGGGTTGGGAGTTGTTGCACGTGTTACCAACGCACACACACAGGTCGAGATTGAGAAAACAACAGGTCGCACGCGGGTGGAGGTGGTGGCGGCGAAGTGGGAGGGCGCGGAGGGAGAGCGGAGCGAAAGGGGGAGCGGAACGGTGAGCGGAGAGCGGGTGGGAGGGGCGAGAGTGGCGCACGCGAGTGGAGTGGGTGGCGGCGAAGCGGAAGGGCGCGGAGGGGCAGAAGTCGATGGTCGTCACGTTGCCGATCAGCGGCTCCGCCGCTTTCCGCCGGAAAATCTGCGCCAAAACCCCGCTTCCGCAGTCTCCGCGGGCGCCGCCGCCTCATAGCGCTTCGGCGTGACTTTGAGAAAATCGCCCACCACCTGCTGGTCGCGCATGGCCGCGCGCGGCCTGTAGGTGGAGGTTTAAACGGACTATTAAGTTCGCGAATTAATCGAGCCACCGGACAAGGAGAGAGCAGGGGCGTGGCGTGTGCAGTGAGACGCGTAGGGAAGTGACGAACGCGACTGAGGTATGAACTGGTGTGATGCGGAAGCCAGGTGCGGCGGTACTGATGTTGAGAGCAGTGAAGGCCGACAGGCACAACGGAATGGAAGTTGGAAACCATCTTTTGCAGAGTTCATCGTTTGAAGTCAAATGAAAGTCAAAGCGTGTAGTTCAGCAAAGAAATAAGCCAGAAGGTTTTAGCTTATTTCCAGGAGTAAGTCCTTTCCAGAGTGGTTGAATTGATGGACATCTTCCCACAAAGTTACCTACTACACAACATTTCTAAGAATGTCTAAGAAAACTTGCAGCACACTTCCCCCCATTTCCTATCTAGTAGCATGGCATAGTATAGAGCTATCAGAGAGGACCCGGTGTCACGACCATTCCAGGAAAGATGTCTCTGATCAACTCTGCAACGTCTTCTGCGTCTGTTGCAATTGCCTGCAGCCACTTGAGCCCGTTGAGCCACTTGACACCAGCAGCAGTGATCTTGGCATCCCACACACCCAACTTCTCCAAGCGTTTCAAATTCCTCAGGTGCTTCATGCCAGAATCAGTCACTCCTGGAGGCAAGATGAGGATCTTGAGTGCAGCGAGAGAACTCAAGCGCTGCAGCCCGTCCTCCGTCACCCCAGTGTCGTTCAGTGTGAGAGATTCCAGTCCTGTCAGTTTCCCCACGTGCACCATGATCGCATTGGTGACCGCCGCACAGTCACCTAGGTGCAATCCACTTAGTGCTGTCATCCCCTGGAGCTTCGCTATTCCCGCATCCGTTACCTTGGTGTTGAACAAATCAAGTGCGCGGAGATTCTTCAGGCTGCCGATGCCTTCTAGAGCCGCATCTGTTGTGACCGTATTACGCAGATTCAGGTATGTCAGGCCCGTGAGAGCAAAGAGTCCCCTCACCCCTGCTTCAGTGAAGCCAGAAGAGTCGTTGAGGTTCAGGGTGGTTAGAGAGCTGAAGGTGGCGACTTTGACGAGAGCAGCGTCGCTGAGGCAGGAGATGCCGGTGAGGTCCATCCGAGTCGTGCTTGGGACTGCTGCGCTCCAAAGAGTCATCAGTGCCTGCAGCCGAAGGCAGCAGCAAAACTCAACACGGAAAGAGATTTGCGTGAGCAGCTGACATAAAGAGATATATGCAAGGTTCCTGCGATGAGAAGGCGGCTACACATGCAACCATGCGTACCACACTGGCTGCATGTGCTGCTGGCACAAACTGCTCTATCATGCAAGAAAGTGGGAACTGGTAAGATGACAAAAAAGGAGCCGACCATCCGCATTATCAAGTCCATCCGCGCACTCACCTCCCACATCTTGCTTCCACTAGCGCTCGCATTCTCCACCGCTTCCACTAGCGCCATCAGCCTCTGCAGATCAGTCTTTGTGTCGCGCGCTCCATGATTCTTCCGCCCCTTCGCTTCGCCATCCTCTTCCGCCTCATCCCGCTTCTCAACAACGGCACCACCATCGGTAAACGGCGGAGGCCCAACTCCCACAGCGGCATCTGCCATCTCCTCCTCCTTGCACGCCTCGTCCCTCTTCCGCCTCTTCCCCTCGTGCCTCTCCGCCTCCGCATGTTCCCCCGCGCTGCCCTCGCTGCGGTCGGCGCGGCTCTTCTCCGCACGGCCGTCTTTGAGTGCGGCAAGTGCCAGCTCAAGGTCGTTGATGCGCGCCGCCGTCGCCTTCACGTCCGCCACCTCCGCCGCATGTCGTTCCGCCGCTTCCTTCAATTGCGCAAGCTCCGCCTTCAGTGCGCCCATCTCCCCGCGCATCTCACTCGCCGCGTCCCGCGCCTCCCCCCTCGCCGCTTCCAACCGCACCTTCACCTCCTCCACTTCAAGTGCAACAACAATGCTTTCCCGCGCGCCTTTTGGCAGCTGCGCGCCAATACCCTCCGCTGCCTCTCCCGACGCACTCCCTTGTCCCGCTCCCTCCCCCTCACTCTTCTCCGCCGAAGCGCCCGCCGCCGCGATCCCCTTGAGGAGGGCCATGGCGCGGCGCATTTCCGCCACGTCGCGCTGCATGGCAGCCATGGCGTCGCCCTGCTCCCTCAGCTTCGCCTCCAACGCCGCCACGCGCACCTCACGCCGCCCGCCATCTCCCCCACCTGCACCTTCAGCACCATGCTGTTCAGCATCTCCTTCAGCCTCACCTCCATGTCCCGCGCTGATGTTGCCGTTGCCATTTCGTTGTTGCCACCGTCAGGCTCTTCGCGGTAGAGTGCTGTCTGGCTCTATGCTCTACAAAGAATGCACGTATAAGTACAGAAATCACTAGCTTAGATCAAGGTTTCACGTAATGGAGAGGGTAGAACTTCGACAAGGAAGCAGGTGCTGCATCGCGCTGGCGAGGGAAATGTGAAACAACTTCGATTGACTGGAGATTTTGTGCGTTGCTGGACGTGTGCACGTTGCTTTGCCAAACCGAAGCAGGAAATTCGAATTTGCGTATTCAAAATGAACGGTCAGATTCATGGCTCAGGCCCCCAAGGCAGTTCACGTGGGAAACTCGATGCGCCAAGTCCCAGCGCAATTGTGCTGGATTCGCTCGAAGGAACATTGAACGCTTATGTAAGGAATTTTCTCGATATTCCTTAGGGCGCGTAACTTTTTCCGTTTCCGTGAAAGGTCCGGATATTGCTTCAAACCGTCCGGACAGAGCTCCGTCCGGACGCTTGGGACTCAGGTCCGGACGACAGCCCGTCCGGACCACACATATGGAACATTTTGTATTTCCGAAAAAATCACTGATGTAACAAGCATTACAAACATCGTACATTACTCGCCACAAAAACTCCGCGGCCTCATATTGGTTAAAAGCTTTAACCACATCGCCCGCCAATGAAAGCGCATGCAAAACGGACGGTCCGAAATGCTGTCCGGACGGTGTCAGCAAGGTAGAACGGTCCATCTGGTGACAGAAAAGTGACAGATTCCGTCCGGTCGCTTACGACGTCGCGCGGGGTCTCACGATGTTGTCCACGAGGTGTCACGAAAATGGTAACCCTACAAAAGTCCGGATTGGGACTCCGTCCGGACGATGGAAAGCAAAAAAGTTACGCGCCCTTAGCGCGCCCTGCAACATCGCGTACAGCAGCAGCCGTTGTTGGCCCGTTACTGCTAACGGGGCTTCGCCGACTTCGTGCGCACTGTTTCACCAAACCTCGCACTGCTGGCCTGGCCGTGTCGGCCTACGCTTCGGGACTAGCCCAAGCCTCGCTTCCAGCATAGCACTAGCTAGCTCGCACGCACCGCGTTACCGTTTGCATGTTTCGCGTATAATTGTTCGCTCATGCCTTCGCTCACAGTTCGTACTCGTTCGACACCTTAGTGCAATCCTCACTACTTCGATTGATTGCACCCGTAACACTTGGTATTCAGAGCCTCTTTCTTTCGGACCGCGCATCTCCGCACCCAGGAAATCAACTTTTGATTTTTCACTCGAATGGACTCACGCACCTTAGCCCCTAGGAGCCGCTGTCCTCGCGTTCTCTCATAAACGCGTGCAGCCACGACTGCGCCTAGACTAAGCCGAGCCGACATCCCTCGTAATGGCTGAGCATATCGATGTCGCAACTCTCACGCAGGAGCACTTGAACGAACTGCTGCGGCAAATCCGCGAAAGCTCTGAAGAAATCGCGGCGCTGACGGCAGAACGCACGTCTCTGCAAAACGACATTGCAAGAGCCCAGCAAGCACAATCCCAAGCACCTGGCACTCCGATACAGCCCGCACCACAGACATCACAACACGGAAGTGTGGGACAACCCGCGAGCGCGGCCAGTGATGGCGTCGTCCGCCATGACGGAGACGACGACCACGGCACGACACATTCCGACGCGACAAATGCGGCCAGGGGTCAGCCTCGAGTCACGATTTCCGTGCCAGCCGGCGAGTCAACTCTACCGTCGCCGATGCCGCTGAAGCCGCAGCGTCCGCCGTGTTTTGACCCAAGTCAGCGGGGTGGTCCTACCGTTCAGGCGTGGCTCTTCACGTTGAATGTTTTCTTCGACGCGAACTACGTCTCGGGAGGATACGGCGAAGATTCGTTATGCCGTGTCGTTGCTGCGAGGACCCGCCATGGACTGGTGGCGTGTCATCGTCACGAAGCCGGTCGACTACGCGACACTACCGACACGGGAAGGACAAACCGGACCCTGGGCGCCATCGTATTTCGTGGAGGTGCCCTAGTATCGCACGTGGGACGCGTGGTGCGCAGGTCTGCGCGCTCGTTTCGAGCCAATTGCGTCATCGATCGCGGTGCGACAGAGGCTCCGCACTTGGCGCCAACTCGGTTCCGTCCAAGACTACACGAGCGGGTTTCTGGCGCTATGCGAGCAAGTAGGTTATATGCACGAGAGCGAACGCATCGACCGCTACATCGGCGGCCTGAAGCAGGACATCGCTCAGGAAATCCAGCTTCGCGGCGTCACCGATTTTCAGGAGATTCTCGCCATTAAGGAGAAACTCGATTTCTTCCGCCGACCGAGACCGGGGTCCTATGGAAGCAGCAATTGGGGACATCGGCCTCGTGGGACGAACGAGGGCGCTACGATACGTGCCGTCGCCGCGAATGCCGCTGTCGCACCGTTTAAAGGGCGCTGCTTTGCGTGCAAACGGCCGGGACACCGTAAGAGCGAATGCCCGGAAAACGCTAAGGGAAAGGGGGAAGCTGAGCAGCAGAAACAGACCAAGCAGCAGGGAAACGCTGGGAGTCAGTAGCAGACGGGCCCTCTACTGACAGGTCACGCCGCTCGCCCGACCCAGCCGACCCTCACCGAGTGATTGTGCCGGTTCACGCAATCGACCACACCCGGCCGAATAAGGAGGGTACTACGGTAGACAGCCCCATACTGCTTAGTGGGAAAATCGGGACCGACTTAGTTAAAATCTTCGTAGACAGAGGGGCCAGCCACAGCCTTATCAACACTGCCACAGCACGAAAATTGCGACTGCCACTGGACAGATGTTTACCTGAGATCGACGCAAGACTGGTCGGCGGCACGCCATTGGCGATACGGGAACGTGTGGACCGAGTTCGGATTCGATGCGGGGATAACTTTACGTTTAGCCAGGAAATGCTCGCAACGACCCTCGACGGAACCGACATTTTACTCGGGCGTGATTGGCTGCGACGACACAATCCGCGAATTGACTGGACGACGGGTGACTGCACTGTGCGAGTAAACGGTAACAACATTGCCTTACCTCGCTGGGGCTCGCCTGAGTCTTCGTCGGTGCGTGTCAACGCGATCACGATGAAACGCGCCGTAGCGGCAGGAGCTGACGTGTACGAGGTTGACATTCGGGAAGCCGAGGCAGCAGACAAAGGGGGGGATTTACAGAAACTGCTAGCCGACGTACCGAGTGATCTGGCAGCACTGTTGAAGCAGTACAGTGACATCTTCCCGGACGACCTACCGACGGGACTGCCACCTCAGCGACCGCACGACCACAGGATAGTACTAGAACCGGGAGCACAGCCAATAGTACAGCGACAGTTCCGACCGACCCAACCCGAACTGGACGAACTGCGGAAGCAGCTGGATTACCTGCTCGAGAAGGAGTTCATTCGCCCTAGTTCGTCACCCTTCGCAGCACCGATACTGTTCACGCCGAAAAAAGACAGGGGGTTTTCGCATGTGCATAGACTACGGAGCACTGAACAGGGTTACCATAAAATCCCGTTACCCCATCCCGCGAGCCGACGAACTGATCGACCAACTGCGCACAGCCCGGGTTTTTTCGAAAATCGACCTTCGGGGAGGTTACCACCAGATTCGCGTCAACCCACCCGACTGCCCTAAGACAGCCTTCTGAACACGCTACGGATCCTTCGAATACACCGTCATGCCTTTCGGACTAACCAACGCCCCCGCCACCTTTCAAATGACCATGAATGAAGCCTTCCGCCCATTTTTAGATAAGTGCGTCATCGTGTACCTTGATGACATACTGATTTACAGCCCCGACAGAGCACAGCACTTACAGAACATCGAAGTAGTTTTTAAGATACTGAGTGAGAACTGCCTACTGATAAAAGCGTCTAAATGTGAGTTTTTACAGGACCGACTGGAGTTTTTGGGACACATTATTTCAGCCGCAGGAGTTGAAATAGACCCGAAAAAAATCGCGACGATTCAAGCGTGGCACGCGCCGACCAACTTGACCGAGTTGCAGAGTTTTCTGGGGTTCGTCAACTACGTGCGCCGGTTCGTCCCCGACATGGCGAAGCTGACTGCCCCGTTGACCGACCTGCTGAGGAAGGGGGTTGAGTATACGTGGGGGGAGAAAGAGCAAGCTGCCTTCTCGGCCCTCAAAAATATTTTGTGCTCACCGCCCGTGCTTCACATCGCAGATCCGCACCGTCCGTTCGAACTGGTCACCGACGCTAGCGACATCGCTGTGGGAGCAGTACTGTTACAGGACTTTGGGAACGACCTTCAGCCAATCGCGTACGAGTCCCGCAAGCTTCACCCGCCCGAACGCAACTACACGATACACGACCGCGAGATGCTGACGATCGTGCACGCGTTCAAGGTGTGGCGATGTTACCTCACGGGAGCAGACATGACAGTACGGACAGACCACCGATCACTACAGTACCTTCGCGCCCATCCGAGTCTCAACCCACGACAGATCCGCTGGTTGGACTATCTGGAGTCCAACTTCCACTACACGGTCACGTACAAAAAAGGCGCATCCAACTGTCAGATTTATATGACAAAGCTACTGTAGGCTATAGTGGGGTAGCACATATGGGGTACAGTTTTCTAGGGTTTGCAGTTTGTACCCAACTTTCCCTTAGTCATTTTCATTCCTCGTTTCTTCTCATGGTATCGAGCAGGTTCCCTAGTGGGAACGATTCCTAGGGCCCACCACCACGAAATTTGTTTTTCCTGCCCGGAGCGCGCTTCGCTCAGGCCCGAGTCACGCCCTGTGTGCTCTCCCTACCGTCGCGCCCTCGCTAGGCCCCTCACGGCCCCGTCGCGTCGCCCTTAGCGGCCCCCTCACGGCTCGTCGCGCCGCCCCTTACGGCCCTTCGTGCCGCCCTTACGGCCCGTCGCGCCGCCCTTACGGCCCCTCGTGCCGCCCCTTACGGCCCCTCGCGCCGTCCCTTACGGCCCCTCGCGCGGCCCCTTACGCCCCTTACGGCCCCTCTCGCGGCCCCTCACGGCCCCCTACGGCTCGTCGCCGCCCTCCGCGGCCCTTCCACCTACCTGTGCGGCCCCGCCACCTACCTGTGCGGCCCCGCCACCTACCTGCGGCCCCGCCACCTACTAGCGGCCCCGCCACCTACCTGCGGCCCCGCCACCTACCAGCGGCCCCGCCACCTACCC